ACTACTTATTTAAGAACTAAAATAGTGATGCAATAATAATTAATAGATAGATAAAAAAATGTTATGTAGTATATAGTCGTGATATTTTATTGATGAATAAATATGTATGATGAATAGCTAAGTTGAATATGCATGGAGATTATGGTGAAGGACAATGCTACTAATTTATGATGCTAGAAGTAACTGATGTGTGAGAGGATTTGAGCTATGATAATGGTGAACTATGTGTGATGGACTGAGTGAATACTAATAAAATATGATGATCACATTGTGCAGTATGAAGTATGGTGAGAAACTAACTGACAGAAATAAAACATGCTAAGTTGTTAAATGAATTAACATGGTGTGTCTAATGTTGGTGTGGGAGAGGGCTGATTGACATATGTAATGACGAATGGATTAGAACCAATAGCGAGTGATGATGTAGCATAAAAATATGATGAGTGAAAGATTGAAGATAATACTAGATGTTACCTAATTACTGATAATTTTTATAATAAGTTTGGAGATCCGAATAGTGAGATATTCATGAAATGGGTTTACATGCATAAATATATTAAAGAAGTAGTTTATGGAAATTAAGTTGATTCCTACACTCTTAACATGATTTATAGTTCATAAATTTAATTATATGGTATGCCATGATTTTATTACATAGAATTAGTTGTATTTATTTTTCTTGTTGTGATCGAGAACCATTAGTAGTTCATGACTTAGTGGCTTTGCGTGTCATGAACAAGACTTAGTGACATGTGTGGGTGCGTTGACCATACTTAAGGGGAGAACCAGTGATCTATTATAGGCCTAGAAACACAAGAGATGTTGGGGTAGGAAAGTCTTGGTTCGCATGATCGGATGTGGTTGTTGATTATCTTCTAGGCTCACACCAATGAATCGTTTCGCACTGGAGTTACTCTGTTGGGCCAGTTAATCGTTTCGCACGTGGTCAGTGAAATCGTTTCGTCACCTGAGTTTTGCTTGAGTTCGAACCAGGCTGAAATCGGATTGCATGTAGTCCTCTGACCGAATCGTTTCACGGTATTGGATGCACGTAGAGGATTATGAACAGTCAGTTATCTGATAATGAGAACATTGACCTATTTAAGAAGTGGACCAGTAAGCTGTTATAGGATGACTAGTTACATGACCCCTTTACTTGTATGATTATGGATTCTTGTGAGATACAGACCAATTATATTTCTTTCCATACATAGATCGGGGTTGATATTTAATTATCTACAATTTAAGACATATGATATATACATGAGGGTTTTCTATTTAGATTATTTCGCTCGATGTACTACATCTCGTGTTGTAGATTTTTAAGTATTAATTCCATCTAGTGGTATGACCTTGTTATTTGGATGATTATGGATTCTTGTGAGATGTGGACCAGTGATCTATTATAGGATAGCTAGCTGCATGACCTCGTTACCCTGTTGATTTTTAGATTCTTCGAATTATTATATTCTAGTGGTGGATTGCATTTAAATTATTAGAATTTCAATACCATGCTTCTATTATTATTATTACTGTTCTTGCATTTGGCCGTTAGATCGTTTCTATTCTTCATTTTGGGATCTTGTCGTGTGCCATGCACGCTTACGTACTCCTGTTCTCTCGGGTTGTACGTCATATTTAAAGGATAAACATGACCAGCTTGGAGACATGCCAGAGTCAGAGTAGTTTTAGCAGGAGTACTTTGTAGACCGAGTAGAAGAAGAAGCCGAAGCTTAGTTATTCCTTTCAGTTTGTTTTTATAGCACTTTCCATTCCCGCTTGATCGATGTATTTTATATTCCTTCACTATTCAGTTGGATAGTTTGTATAAGGGCATGTTGACCCGAATATTATGTCTGGATAATATTTCAGTTGTGATATGTATTATTTTGTTCTGAGTTGTTTATTATATTCTTGCTACTGTGAACGGGGACCCGTGCATTCGTTTTATATTGCTTGACGCTTAGCGTATTAGATTGAGTAGAAGGTCTAGTACTTATTTCTCCTCAGTCTAATACGTCGCGGACTTGTTCACGTTCCGATTCCCCGGTATTTTGGGAAGCGGGGCATGACAGGATTTCTTAATCTTCTTTAGACAGTTGGTTCTTGAACAGAGGATCCACGCCTGCACATAAACAACATGTGAGGGATCGAAGTTGGGATCTCCAATGATTCCTCCGACAACCAAGTCAGTAATGTGCTTGAGTGGAGAAGAAATAGTGTTAAAGTGTGTTTTATAGCAAGAAATTGCTTGAATATGCAGTGGATAACACCTCCTCTTTATAGCAGATCCTGGAGGGCAATTATGTAACTTCAGTCGAGTCTAGACAGGCAGCTCAGTCGGCAGATACTTTACAAGTATCACTGTAGAATGGATGGGTCATTTATGTGTTTAATGTGATAGTGACTATGGAAGCACGACGCTGATGAAGTCCGATAAGTCATAAAAACTTTTGGGGCTAGAACAATGATGATTCTGACCATACATTCAATGCGGTGGTGATCGAATGTCGGCGGGGAGTTCGAGGACGAACTGTCTTCTGTCTCGGCCTTGCGAGAAGGCTGACAAATAATGCCTTTTTATTCTGCTGTCTGAGGATTCGAAAGTTCTCGACTCGGCCTTGTAGGATAAAGAGGAGTAGGGGTTGACACTAGCAGCGGTTCTCGAGTAATGACGCATTTCGATTCGGCCCTCTTAGAAAGGGTCGAGTGTCGATGTTGCTCAAGTCGTCTTGCATAGGGTGAGGCGTATCTACTATTTAGTTAGTATGGATACATGTCGACTCCCGAGGGAGAATTAACACTTAGCCATCTCTGTGGAGTAGCAATTTCCATGATATCTTTGATCATATTATACTTACCGATTGATGCTTATTTCAAAGAGATACTTTCTAATAGCTAATATTATTTAATTAGATATGGCGGGCCACTAAGGCCGCCAACATCCCACACTATTCGACAAGTTCACACTTTGACTGTACCTCTTCTCTTTGTTATACTTATTTATTGAGTTTTTAAGGTGTTAGTCCTTGACTCTTTAATATCTTGAAACTAGTCCCTCATATCATTCAAATTGCTGTCATGTTCCCGAATTCTTTATACTTTACCTGTGCTATTCTTGATTGGAGGATTAATTTAAAACAATTTACAAAAAATAGGGGACCTAGTAACTAGGGCTGTAACTTGAAAACCGATAACCGAAAAAATAACCACACCAAAGTCGAACCATAACCGAAAAAACCGAGGAAAGAAAAAAACCCGTACCAAACCGCAAAAAAAATAACTGAAAACCGAAAGGTTTGGTGTGGTTTTGGTTTCGGATGTTTGGAAACCAAAACCGAACCGAAAAACTGATTATATATATTGTAAGGAAATTATATTATTTATAGATATATATTATTAATATACATAAAATTTTATGTAGAAACTTCAAACTTGGGCTTAAATGAAGCCCCCAAAAAAAAAGGATGGTCTTGGCCTGCGTTCCAACATTACTACATAGTCTACATTAGACTTTAATTATATTTCTAGGGCTTCTGAGAATCTGAGTTCTCGTCCATCGCTCCCAAAGTCCCAAACCCAACGAGCTTTTGGTCCTTCGCGCTTTGTCTCGTCCCCTCTCGTCCATCGCCCCCAAATCTAGGGTTCTCCCGTCCATCGGCCCCAAATCTTGGGTTCTCTCGTCACCGGCGAAGAAATCCCTTCTGTCACGTGGTACTGTAGCTTTCCTTTTCCCCAAATGTTGGTCATTGAGGAGCTTGCTGCTGAACTTGAAGTGCTGATCTATCATCTACATGTTTCTGCTATTCTAGATTTTCATCGTTTTTTTTTCTTTTCGAAAACTATTATGTGGCATTGTGGGCTGCCCTTTTTCATTTTCTTTCTTTTCTTTTCTTTTCGGAAACGGTTATGTAATATGAGACATTTCTACTTTCTACTTTTCTAGACTTGTTTTCTTTATAGAATAACCGAAAAAACCGATATAAACCAGAGAAAAACCAAACCGAACTAAACCGAACACAATTGGTTTATGAAAAAATAAGTGAAAAACCGAACCGAACCGAACCGAAAAATAGATCGGTTTGGTGTTCGGTGTCACCTATTAACCGCACCATTCAAACCGATTAACAGCCCTACTAGTAACAACGTTCAATGGACTAAATTTTGAGACAACTTATACGGGGGACGTAATAAGCATTTTAAATGATTTGAGGACTAATCACAATAAAGATTTAAAGGACTAGCATCACAATAATCCCTCCAAATATTTTAATTCAAATAAACCCGTCTTAAATATGGAGGAGGTACTATAGACAACCCTCTCAACTTTGAAATTTTAACTTAACCTACATCGATTATAGTCCCCACAAAACCCTCTGATCTTTACACTTTTTCTCAACAATTCTTTTTTTTTCATCATAGGTAAATGTATAGAATATATAGAAAGTAAAGAAAAACTTCCTTGACATCATTATCCAAAATGTGAAATAACTAAAATATGCTTTCTAAAAAAAATTAATTTTAGTTAAAAAAAACCCTCAGTCTATTTTACAGTGGAGCATTGCTATTTGGCTCGCGGACCAACCGCGAGCCCCAACATGAAAAAGAGCATTGCTATTTGGCTCGCGGTTGGTCCGCGAGCCAAATAGTTTTTTTGTTTACCGTGCTTCCTCTTTCTCTCTCATATTGTGATTTTATGATTGAGTAATATTTTAATCTTTTTGCATTACGTGTTTCTTGCACGACACATTAGATTTGGCAGTGTTAATTTGGAGTTAAATAAGAAAACTTTAGTGGATTAAACCAAAATTTCAAAGTTAAGAAGACTACCTTTTGAACTTAAGGAGGGTACCTGAATTAAAATAGTTAGAAGGGATTTTGTTGCACAGTTCCAATATGAGTAGGGGGTTTTCTAGAATCAATCCTTTAATAAAGTTGCTAAAAAATTTTAAATCAAAAATTTTCCAATGTTCGTTGACTCTGCTCCACAATCACCGCCACAAAAAGAACTGTCTATTTAACGAGATCACGCTTTGATTCTTTTTCCCTCTTTATTTATTATTAACACTCTCCCTACTTAGTAACCTAAAACAAATCTCTCTCTCTCTCTCAGATCCAAAATCAATCAATCTCAAAATGCGCAAATCCAACGTCCTCTCTCTAACCCTAATCCTAATCCTCCTCCTCGTCCTCCTCCATCAATCCCCATTCCTCTCTGCCGGCGATGACCTCGCCGACCTCGACGAGCTCCTCTCCATCGACGAAGAATTAGAATCTGAAACCAACACAGAAGCTCTCAAACCCTCAGAAGCCGAGATCTTGAAGCGAGCTCAAAGAGTCGTTCTCGGTCTCAACAACGAGAACGCCAAGAAAGTGATTAATGAAAATGAGTTGGTTCTTGTTTTGGGGTACACTCCTTGGTGCCCTAGGAGTGCTGAGCTGATGCCGAGGTTTGCGGAGGCGGCGATGAGGTTGAAGGAGATGGGGAGTGAGGTTTTGATGGCGAAGATTGATGCGGAGAGGTATGTGAAGGCGGCCGGGGAGTTGGGGATTCGAGGGTATCCGACGATGATTCTGTTTGTTAATGGGACTGGGAGGAGTTATACTGGTGGATTTACTGGGTAAGATTTGATCTTTTTTTGGGTTCTTCTGATTTGCTCGTGACGTGTTGGATATTATTCATGTGAGATATATTGGTTCTGGTTAAAACTGAATTAATTAGATAATCAGAGCACATTGGGATATAGAAGGTGACAATGATTATTTCATGGGCTTAAAACTGAATTAATTAGATAATCGGAAAACATTGATATATTGAAGGTGGCAATGATTATTCAAGCTGATTGACTTCCTAATCATATTTTGATAAGGAGACGAAGCCCCTTCCCATATAGCTTAGGTGACCTTCCTATCATCTTCAATTAATATTCCCCTTTTACCAGGTAATATATGATCTTGGCTTGCGATAGACGAGATGACCATTTTCTTTGTATTATACACAAAACTACCAACACTAGTCTACCATAGGAAAATACCTCAAACTTAGGCAGCAGGTAAATGTCACCTACTAGAAAACTTGGGCACTCTGACAATAATTGATGCAGACCGTGCCACATCAATAACGTAAAAATTTTGTGACAGTTTGGTAACTTTATCTGAAATTTTCTGGCAGTTTTAGTGTCTTTATTTCGTTCTTTGATAGTACATAATTTGAAAGTTTATGAATATTTTTCTCAAATAAAAATAGTTTGTCATATTTTACTTTTGCAAAACCCCTAATACTTCATGGTAGTTTTGTGAAATTTACGGCATGTCCTTCTGCTAGGTGCGATTTTTTAGATAGCAGGTTGATTCTGTTAGGTACGTGTACTGTAATGTTGCACTCGAGTATCTTAACTGTTGTTGAATTTCTTTAATTAGGGATGAAATAGTGATATGGGCAAGAAAGAAAACTGGTCATCCTATTATGAGGCTATCTTCAACAACTACTGCTGAAGACTTTGTCAAAGGGTATGAGATATATGTTGTTGGTCTCTTTGAGGAGTATGAGGTACAAAAACAATCTTGGATACTATGTAGCTGCTTGTCAAATAACAGAACATACATTATTCTGTGTTAAATCTTAAGATGCTGTTTTTTGTCATGAGCAGTTAAGTATTTGCTATTTACTTGTCAAAATTATGAATGTACTTGAGTTATTAATTACTCATATTGTAGTAACCTATTTACTAGTCATGTAATCTGATTACACGTGGTTTCTAATTATTCCATGCATCTAAAACACAGAATTCAGACCTGCTGATTAACTGATACTCATCCTTTGCTGAGCTGAAATAAGTACTGATTGGACTGGAATCTGTCTAGAAGCAAATATCAGTCCTGCTTCTGGACTGATTTAGTTCTAAAAAAACATATCCAATCTTTTTTTCTGGATAACTTAGTAAAGCGAAGATAGCAGAATTTAAGTGGACCAGAGTATATTATGTTGCTGCAAATTTCTCTTTTCTTCAAATTATTCCCCTATTAATACAGGAAGGCGGTTGCCCTATATCATCCTTTGCCTTTAAGATGCTTGAACTGTAAACTTATTTTATGTATCAAACTTTACTTTTGCAGGGAACTGAATATGAAGAATTTGTAAAAGCTGCAACTACTGATAATGATATCCAATTTGTTGAGACCAAGGATTTGACCATTGCTAAAATTCTTTTCCCAAACATAGGAGCTGAAGAGCATTTCCTAGGCCTTGTCAAAAGTGAACCTGAGAGGTTTGAGAAATTTGGTAAGTTGGTTACTTGGTTTATCTATATTCATCTTCCCTAATTTATTGATCCTGACAATCCTTTTTCACTTCCACTGATACCTTGTTCTCGAACATTTTTCCTTTTTGGTTTATTTTCCATATTGACAATTTCTTAGCTGCTACTGTTGTACAAAAATACTCAGACTGTTATTAACTTATTTATTGTGTTGGCTTGTTTGTGTTACAGATGATATTGACATATTGTGCATGGTAGTAGAATGACATAGCGGTAGTGTTATTTCATAGATCTTTCTCTTTTTTTAAAATAAAACATTAAGTCTGTACCTTTAGCTGCTGTATCGCCATATATGTCACTTTAGACTTCTAATAGCACTAATTATTGGAGACAATTGCTCTTGCACCTAGCTACTAATTCATTAGCTGCACAGACCCTCTGCCTGATTTCTAATTTCTGCATGATGGATGCTGTTGCAAGTCATTCCTTTCCCAACTTTTGAGTCACTTTTTGTTTGTTTCACTTTGCATTAGATGAATATGTTATATGCATTAGATGATTATGTTACCATTTTTATCAAAAATTTGTTTCAATTATTTCTAATAACTATTTTTGCTTATTTTGCAGAGGATAGCTTTCAGGAAGAGAAAATTTTGCAATTTGTGGAATATAACAAGTTTGCTTTAGTTACTACCTTGACAGAACTTAATTCTGCCAGAGTCTACTCAAGCCCTATGAAACTTCAGGTCCCTTACTCATCCTACTTCATTCGTTTTGGATATGCTTCCTTACTCTTCCTTTCTAGTTTTCTAATGTACTGAATGAGGTAACTTTCCTATCTAGCAGTCATGCAACCACTTAAAGTCCCAGAGAGCTTAGGTTACATGGACCTAGTACTTCATGAGCATCCATTGGGAACATCTCAGGAACTTCTCAGATATTTATGTATTCTCATGCTTATTAGGACTTGCTATATTCAGTTCTCGCACTAACTTGATACCAATTGTAAAATGAAAAGATCTAGATTTTCCATACATAATTCTTTTTCAAATTAAGGACTACAAGTCTATAGAAGAGAGGTGCAATTGTCTATAAATTTGGATATTGATCAAGATACAATAAGTTTTCCCTAATCAAATAAATTTATAATGAATCGTCATTAGAATGTCATGGATTTAGGAGTCTAATAAGCCTTTCTCTATTAGATAATTACTTAATTAGTAGTTTGAAATAGGAGCAATTTACACACAAGCCTACCGTACATGCGTTGTTGATTGTTTTAAATGTCAATACGCCATAATATTTCTATTCTAGAACTAGGATGGAACTAAATCACCCCACTTTTAAAATGTAGTAAAAATCTCACCGCTTCATTTGCTAACAACAATTACTGATCCCTGAAGTTCACAAACTTGCCAAAGAGTTGCAGTCTATAGGCTGTTCAAATATAGAACAACCTTATATGAACATCTAAAAGCTCTGAGTATCATCGTAGATAGTGTTACAGAAGGTGCTAGGCGGACTAGGCATTTCGAGCCAGCGCCTATATGCCTAAGCGCACGCCTGGGAGGCGCCTAGATGTTTGGCTATTTTTAAAATTATCTAATTATAATAATTGGCAAAAGTATGTATTAAATTCATATAAAATTGTAAAAAATATAAATAGCATTTAGATCCACAATAAACAATTAAATACTAAATAGCCAACGTAGTAACTAAATGTTACAGAAAGCACTGTTTTAAAAAACCTCCGCCTAGTCCGCTTAGGCGTATGCCTAGGTCTAGACGGTACCTAGACCTCCTAACTAGCGCCTAGATGGTATTTAGGCTGTCCATCTAGATTTTACGAATGTTTAGGGGAGCATTGTCTGCTTACGTGGATTGCACCCTATAGGCCTTGGTTGTGATTTTATGTGTTGTAGCCTATACGTCCTCCAAACTCCATTAACCTTCAAATATGAACACCCCCATTACCTCATCCGACCTTCAGCAAAACCTCATCGATCACTACTTAAATGAAAAAAGAAATCCGCCTAGACACCAGTCCGACATCTAAGCTCTATATAACATTGACATTCACTATCAAATTATTGTAATTAAAAATTAAAAAAAGAAAACATCTTAGGTTCTAGCATTGTTAATTATTATTTTGGCTAATTAATATCTAAGTATGCATGATTTATTGTGGAACTAAGATTGCTATCTTTTTTTAAAAATTTATATGAATTTAATACATATTTTTATTAATTATTATAATTAAATAATTTAAAAATAGTCAAACGCCTAGGCGCACGCCTAGGGGTCTAGGCGCTAGATGCTCGCTTAAACGTCTAGTCAGCCTAGCGTCTTCTATAACATTGCCGAGCTCTTCTGATCTTTGTAATTACTAACAAGGTAAAGAGTACTTCTTAAATATCTATTTAAGTTAGTTAACAATAGTAACTTAAACTTAAGAAGTGTAAGTTAACAGTAAACTTAAGTTTAAGTTTAAGTTAAACTTAAGTTTAAGCTAAACTTAAGTTTAAGCTAACAGTAAACTTAAGTTTAAGTTTAAGTTTAAGTTAATATTAAGATTTTTGTTGATTGTAAACGTAAGTTTAAGTAAACAGTAAACTTAAGTTAACAATATTTTGGTTAACAGTAAACTTAAGTTTAAGTTTATTGTTAACTTAAACTTAACAGTAACTTATAAGTTAACAGTAATTTAAGTTGAGAATGAAGTTTTCACTGTTGAGATGAACTTATAATTTGAGTTGAGAAGTATAAACATACAAAGAGCTAAGTAATTTAGTTACTAGTGTTAGTATTTTAGTATTTATGCATCTTTGATTGATTGAGTATATATATATTTATCTTCAAGTATAACAATTAAAAAAAAAGAAAAAAAACGCTCAGAAACTGTTTAAGCGCCCGCCTAGATGACTAAGCGCTGACGCTTAGTCCAACGCCTAGAAGCGTCCAACGTTTAATGTAACATAGACAGTCTAGAAAGCCAACGCCTAAAGTCTAGGTGGTTTACTTATTTTTTTTAATTACAATATTTGATAGTAAATGTCCATGTTATAGAAAGCGTAGGTGTCAAACTGGTGTCTAGGCGGATTTCTTTCTTCATTTAAGTGGTGGTCAGGGAGGTTTTGTTGAAGGTCAAAGGAGGTGTTCATGTTTGGGGGTTAGAGGAGTTTGGAAAAGGTTGGAGGATGTGGAGACTGCAATGCAGAAAATCACAATCAAGGCCTAAAGGGTGCAGTCCATGTAAGAAGACAACGGTCTCCTAAGCACTCCTAAAACCTAGGTGGATAACCTAGGTACCGCCTAGGTGCTAGGCGCTTGGCAAGCTGCCTAAGTACCGTGTATGCCTAGGCGGACTAGACGGAGGCTTTTTAAAACAGCGAGTCAGTGACTGTAGATATACATGAAGGATGATATCAAGTTACTGCCTCTTTTCTTCAGTTCAGGTCAAATTTACTGTGCATACTTAAGTCCCAGTATTTCAATTTAACCCATTTCTTAAACGTTGGATTTGTGTCTACCAAAGTTGGATTAGGATAAGACTAATCTGACCAGATCAGACGTATTTGCACAAGTTTAGAAAGAAAGGGAAAGTTGATAGATTTCGGTAGGGGACTGGACTCAAATCTAAGACACAAAAGAAGTAAGGAAAACACTATAAATTAAGGCTTTACATATATTAGTCCTGTTTTTAACTGCCCAGTGAGGTTAAAACAATACCTACACACCTACACAGAATCATTAATGGAGTTTAAAATCATGGATTACAAGGAGAAAAATTGTGGTTTCATTAAAGAAAGGGCAGGGGGTAAAGGTAAGGTCTATGTTATCTGGGTACTTCTATTAGTAAACCGTACCCGTACTCAAACCTCTTAGACACTTTTTTGAATATATACATATGTTTATTCGTGCATATACTTAATTATATAATATATGTTTTCATTTAAACACTCATATGTTCTTGGATTTATATTTTACACTTCACATCTATTTCTTATATATTGATCTTATGTAAATGAAAAAACAATATGGATCTTATGTAAATTATTAATTTTAATACATATAAATGTACATAACACGCATATATATAGTCGTGTCTCCGTACCCTATATTTTACAAATTTTCCGTGTCCCGTACCCGTGCCTGTATGCATGCAACCTAGGGTGAGGTGAGGTGAGGAAGAGCAAGAGGAATAATATCTATGTTACCATGGCACTAGGAAAGATGCAGTATCACTCGGACAGGAACACAAACCATAATTAAATGTGATAACATAGCTATATCAGTTTTGACAGGACTCCTAAATACTTGTTTAGCCATACTAATTTCCACTGTCCTTTCTGGCAGGTTTTCATTTTTGCGGAGGCTGATGATTTCAAGCCCCAGCAGTTGCTAATTCAGAATGTTGCAAGAAAATATAAGTCAAAGGTGGCCATGTGATAGGATATTAACAGTTTTTTGAACTTTTAGTTTGAAAACTAATCTCAGATTCTGCTATTGTTGTAGATAATGTTCGTATATGTGGATTCTTCTGAAGACAACCTTGCAAAACCTTTTCTAACTTTATTTGGCCTGGAACCAGAAGAGCCTATTGTGAGTCCCTTATTCTCTAAGCATTTGTCTGATTCATCGAATGTGATATGATATGTATGATTGACTGGAATTATTTTATCCATCTTATCCATGCTGACTGAGAGATTTTTTGCTCATTTATTTTGATAAGTAGTTGAAGTAATTTGATGTCTGTTTGTTATGTGTGTATGTTGTTTTGTTCTTTTATATTGCAAAATGTTACATTGTTCCACTTATCTATTGCTACCTATCTGTTACATTTATCACCAATTGACTTGATAAGCTGCATGCACATTTCCTGTTGCTATCTTATCTATTGCTGTTATCACCATTAAACTAGATATGCATAGCATGCTGGATTTCCTTTCTTTAATGCTGACTTCCCCATTAACTCATGAATCCCAATATTTCCACTTAATAAAACTTTCCTACTTCTTGATTGCTGCCTTCCTATTACTTCTATAACTATTTGGCTTTATGTGCATAAAATTTGGTGGTTTCACTTTTTTTCTATTTGCATTCCCTTCCGTTAACCTGTGACTATCTATTAATCCCTTGCTTTCTTACTGAGCTCTGATCAACTTTGCTCCAGAATCTAAATCTTTGCAATTGTATTAAAAAAAATTTAATTTTTTTATCCCCCCACCCCCTCCCCCACTGCCTCCCTCCCAAAAAGAAAAGAAAGAAAAGAAAACCGCCCCACCAAAAATAAAAAAGCTTTTGACTCTCGTAGTGTCACTTAATCTTTCTTTTATTTTATTTTTAGATCATAATGGTTCCATTTAACTCATGAATTCTTATCAATCTATGTAATAGCTGTTTCTTTTTCTGGACTGATCTGCTGATAACAATTAAATATTTGGTTTTAATACATTGTGATTGTTTTTTATATCTCATAAAGACTCTTTGAGGTTATGGAGCCTATATATAATTCTATCTAATTACAGTCCATAGTTGCGGTTCTAATTTTCTCTTACATTGAAATCATCTTACTTCTGTTGCTCCTTTACCTGTTATTGTTTTATATGAATGACTTCTTACATCTGTTCACGGTGAGGCATCAACTAATTCAAGATTATTCTTCAACCCATTGCTCAGGTGACTGCATTTGATAACAGGATTGGTTCCAAGTATCTGTTGGAGTCAGATATTACACCAACCAATTTAGAAGTGAGTCCTGCCAAATTACTGCTGAATTCAACATCTTCAAGTTTAGAGTCATAAGGTTATTTGTTTTCAGGGATTTTGCTCGGGGTTACTACAAGGCACTCTTGCACCATACTTCAAGTCAGAACCAATTCCAGATGCAGTAAGTAGTTATTTACTTTTCCTTTGTTTCTCACTATACTTCAAGCGAGCTACCGCTGTAGAAAACTACAGAGAGGATTATCGTTATAGCCGTTACTGAAAAAAGCAGTCACTCATCTGTATATCCAAAATTTTGTTCCTGTGTATGTAGATTAGAACAATTTAGTACCCACTTTTTTTTTTACATATCATCATTGTCCAAGTCTTTCCTATCACATCGGATCGCCAATGAACTGAAGGCACTATGGAGATACTGAGCCAAAACTTACAACCGTTCATGTCTACTTGCAGTATATTTTTATGTGAAAAACATTTCTTATTCTGGTGGGAAAATGCAGGGTGGATTGATTGAAAAAGTTGTTGGCAGGACATTTGATGCATCTGTTATGAACAGTCCTGAGAATGTTTTTCTTGAGGTATGCGTTATTTGCTTGATTTATGTTAATTGCTGAATATTAACTGAGGACTTAATTAAATTTTACATCAAAATAAAGGTGTATACTCCATGGTGTATGGATTGCGAGACCACTAGCAAGCAAATCGCGAAGCTGGCCAAGCATTTTGAAGGCCAGAAAAATCTAAAATTTGGAAGAATAGATTTTTCTCTCAATGAACATCCAAAATTGCAGGTATGAGGAAATTGAATTTGATCTTTAGGTTGTGTTTAGTTTGAATGAAAATGAAGGAAAATAAAAGAAAAAGGAAATGAGATTATGTTGTTTGGTTTGGAGGAAAGATAAAATGAACATGAATACATGAAAATGGAGAGAAAAGAGCCACTATAATTTTCTCTTACAATTTCTTAAGCCCAAGCAAGTGAAACTGAAAGAAAAAATTGTCGGGCTGCTGCTCCTTGGGGCTGCTTCATCGCCTCCTCTGGCGAAAAAGGGACACTTTAAGCACCGAGTCACCGGATTACACTCTTGACTTCTCTTGGTTTGTGGACCCCACTCAGGCAAAGGGTCATCAGTTTATGTAGGGCCCATGTGAAGAATTAAAAATGAATGAGCTGCTGTTTAGGCCCAATTAGGTCAAAGAAAAAATAGATTAATTTTGCATAACCCCTTGAACTTTGGTGTTTTGCAGATAATCCCCTGGAGCTATTTAAATCCCAAAACCCCTTGAACTTGAGCCATATTGCATATAACTTACCTAACTTCTTTTATTCCACTATACCGCATGAGGATTTCTCATATTAACCCTCAAAGTAACACTATTAAGTCTAACGTGTGACGTGTAAATTCGTAATAATATCCATGAAAATACTCCTCTGGCTTCAAAAATCACTGTCATTCTTTTCACTGCTTCCATTAATGTTTTGATGGCTAAGAGTATTTTTTTTATTCTTAGCTACATACTTGGATGTGACGCATCAGATTTGATGGTGTAAATTACTTTGAGGTTTAAGTGAGATCTTGGTGTTTAGGGGAAGAAAAGAAGTCCAGGGGAGGTTATGTGCAAAACCCCTCAAACTTTTCTAAAATTGAAATAGTTAAGGGGGTTATGTGCAAACCTCCTCTTAGTTCGGGGAGTTCAAGGAAATTAACCCAAAATTACTCGTCTAGAGAGTTAAATGTATAAAGGAGACGAGAATTTTTAAACATTTCAGAACATATCTAATTTTTTAATTACGAGCGCTTATTATGATGTACTGTCAGCATCTAAATTTTGGAAAGTTTGCACTAACTTAAAATTGTTACTGAAAAATGTCTCTTTACATTATCCTTTATATATGAAAAACTAGTAGTATGGATATATGGTTTTATATGCTGTCCTCATCAAGAATTTTTTTCAATTTAACAATTAGTTTAGAAAGAATTTATTGAACGGATTACCATATAATATTAGTTACTTGTATTCTCTATCTTATTTTTATTAACTAATTTTATTTCCCTTCAATATTTTTTTACAATTTTCTTCCTAACCAAACATGAAAAAGAATCTTATTTTATTTTATTTTTCTTTTCCTTTTCTTTTTCCCTTTCTTTTGCTTTCTTTCACATTCTTCCAAACCAAACAGTGCCTTAATTTCTTTTCCCATTCTTCTCTTCCCTTTCTTCCCTAGTCGGAAGGAACCAAGCTAAGAAAACCAGTTCCTTTAGAAGTCATTTTTCAAGGAGGCTTCCTAGGGAACCATCGTAAGAGTTGTTCAAACATAATGCAGTATTTGAACTGAATCAACTATGAAGTAAGTTTTCTGCTTCAAATATTAGATTACTTCAGCTGTTGAGCAAGAGGCCTCAAGTCCTTCGTACACCAGAGTTCTAAAATCAATAAATGAATAATATTCCCTGAAATTTGCATTAAGAAGTCGAATTTTCCTTACCTATTTCTAGTGAACATATGAAGCTGGGGGGAAGTTTAAAATTAATATATACTTTTCTTTTGGTATTTTCTTGACAGATAGATAATTTTCCGGCTCTCCTTTTTTATCCTGTTGGGGATAAATCAAATCCGGTATGTACACCCTGAATGCTGATTCTTTTTGAAACGTGAATGCCTTTCTTTTTTTGCTAACCAAATTTGTTGTAGCAGATCAAAATTTCCAAGAAATTGAATTTGAAGGAGTTGGCGGCCTTCATTAAAGAAAATATGAGATCAGAAGTCAACAATGGAGTCTCAAGTAAAGATCGAACAAAGGATGAACTATAAGTGTCATTATCGGGACAAAGAGTCTCAAGTAAAAGATCAAACCAAGGATGAACTATGAGCGTCATTATCGTGATACAGGAGTGAGTCATGAAGATTCAAACAATTCTCGTGACCATAAAATTGCGAGGATTTGACTCCCAATGTCAATTGTCCTTCAGAGGTTCAGACTTTACAAATTTTTCCAATGATAATTTATAATCAACAATTATCAATTGGTATAAAGGTCATAGTATTGTTAGAAAGAGATGTAACCAAGTTGTAACTTTTTAGTGTAAAATGGAATCAACTATACTTATCTATAGCTGCAGAACTGCGACTGCGTCGGTGTTGCTGTTGAAATGGATGGTAGGATTGATTATTCATCATCCTTGGATACTGCAAATCTGATTCCGGGATGGTCTAGCTGTGTTTCTTTCTCAAATAAATAAGAGCAAACACTTGTTAATGTTACCAATTATCCATGTCAACTGTATTCATTATCTTCGGATGCCGTAGATATATTTATGTAACTGTTACTGTCAGCAAAAATTAGCGAGAAAGAAGAAATTTTCAAAATCTGTCTCAACAGAATTTTTTTATCCCATTCACTTTTAGTTATAGAAATCGACCTACTTTGAGTTAATTGCGGTACTAATTAGTCGGGGTTGCTAACCCCGACTAATTAGTAGTCTAATTATAAGCGGGGTTAAGGAGCGGGGAAGGTTTGCGGTTGCTAATTAGGTTACTAATTAGTTGGGATTGACAATCCGACTAATTAGTACCGTAATTAACTCAAAGTGGGTCGATTTCTATAATTAGAAGTGAATGGGGTCTATTTTTTAAAAAAAAAATTCCGTTGAGTCGATTTTGAAAATTTCTTCTAGCGAGAAAAGACTCTCTCATCTCTCATACATTTTCTTAATATGTGCATTGCGGTATTTAAGAAAGAACAAACCGTTGCATAAACAAGAGGGATGCATCTTGTTAGAAATCAGGCGGTAGCTTGAAGCAAATCTTGCAATGATGTCCTCACATTTGATGCTATTGCTTCAAAGACCCATTCTGCTACAAAACAGCTTTAGCCCCACAAAATTGCTTAAACTCCCAATTGAGGGGGAATCTGATTATTTTAACAGTACCAATTTAAGTTTTGAAGGATTTCTTCACGAATTATTATCAAACGCTATATTTGTCCAAGTTCACTGTAAAAAGGCACATAAGTTATATCAATCAATTTAAAAGACGGTATTTATGCATCCTGACAGCTGTTAGTTTAGAGAGTTTCCTCAGGCCCTTGGCATAAATTAGATTTCCATGATACAAAATAATACAACATTCGAATGGGAAAATCTACAGGGTTAAGAGATATAAACGTCCACAGGGGAACAAACATGGCAGAAACCTGAAGCAAAATTGGTTTCTCTTGGCACACAAGCTAATGCCATGACCATGGTGTCCTCTTTGAAGAAGAATCCACAATTCTACATGAACAATTGAGTTAAGCAACCTCTCTCTTCTAGTTTGAGGCTGAGCTTCCTACCACCTTTAGAGAGTCTGGACTTGCATCAAGAACCGTGCTACCCATTCTTGAGGGTGGCCAGTATCGGAAAATGGATCTCCCGAGTATGTTCTTTGCAGGAAGAGGACCCCTGATAGATTAGAACGAAGGTTTAGTAAAGGTAAAAAATTTTGATGCACGAGATGAGAAAAAGCACCAACTTTCTAGATTGCAATGATGACGATGCTTACCATACGTGAGAATCGTAACTATTGTTGCGATTGTCACCCATCACAAATACAGAATTTTTGGGTACATTCTGGAGTGTTAAGGAAAAAAGTTAATAAGACCAAAATAGATAGCACATAAGCAAATATGTACATATTCAAAGAAATTTGGAATGGTGATGCGAGACAGGGCAGAAGCTCCACAAGATAGAACTTTCCAAAATTAAGCTAATCAAATACCTAAGTTAACTGAACTCTGCTGAGAAGTTTAAGAATGAAAACGATAGAAGAATATGAATCTTTAATTTGTAGATTGAAAAACTTCCTTTCTTCCCTGCACTTTCCAAGATTTCCCAAGTTATTTATAAGCTATAAGTGAGACAACCATTCAAAATTAATGTTTTCCTAAATTCTCCCTCCATTCTTACACCCAACTTACATGTTTCTAGTTAAGGGGGAAAAAAGGGAGTAACAATTTTTACAGCTTATATTACAAAAGAAATGTTGGCATGTTGAACAACTACTTTTTTGGGGGGTTGACGGTGCTATTCAAAATAATAATTTGTTTTCCTTCTTTCTTTGGAATACTGAGAGAAATATTTGTTTTCAAAAAAAAAAGTCAAGAACAGTTGTGGAAACTGGAAGAAATGGGTGGAAAATCCTTACAATGGGATTCATATCGTAAGATGGTGGCTCAAGAATGAACTCTTCACTCCTGGCAGTACCATTCACTATTAGTTTTCCGTTGTGAACCTGCAACGCAATAAGGAAAAAGAGATGAGGAACAAGCGAGTGCCCAAGTAAGCACTTTATAGGCACCCTTGCAAGCACCACAATCTCTACAAGAAAACAATTAAAAAAAAACCAATAGCTACGGGAGAGATTAATCCAAACAAATGACATTTTAAACAGCACCATATATATTATTTTCCCCCATTCCAGTACGAAGGGAAGATCAAAGGGTTGGATTAGGAGTCTAGGGCTAATACAACACTGCCGAAAAGGAAGAGCTCAGGAAATTACACAAACTGTATGCACACATCGCACACACAAGCGCACGAGCACACACCCCATAAAGTTACTGCAGCGAAAACTCACCTCCACGATATCTCCTTCCTTGGCAACAACTCTCTTGATAAACACATCGTTATCGGTATATCCCACTTCCTACATTACGGAATTGCAACCAGTTAACACACGAATATTGAATCAATTGTTTTTTTTTTCTTCCAAGCAACTGGCTTTTCGAGAACTAGACGAACCTGCAGAACTGGTGGGCTTTTGAAGATAACTATGTCGTTCACAGATGGCCTTCTGAAGTAATATGAGACCTTATAACAGCAAGAGTAAGCTGCAAGTCAGAACTTAAAACTTCGTACGCATAGTAACAGATGAGAATCTAATCTACAATTTGTCAATTTCAAACGCATGTTAATAAAATAACTCCAACAAGCCTAGAAAGGCTTTAAGCCCGAATTAATTTAATTAAAATGCGATAATTAAAAAAAAAGACGGTACCTTCTCCGCAACGATCCTGTCGCCAACATCGAACGTGGGATACATGGAGAGCGAGGGAATGAACCTCGGCTCCGCCACAAAAGTCCTGAACGCCAGCGAAATCGCGAACGCCGCAAGCACGGTCTTGGCGTCGTCAGCAGTGATGCTGACCCAATCAGGTAGAATCCCCTTCTTCTCCTCCTCCACCACCACCACCTCCTCCTCCTCCTCGTCTCCTCCTCCTCCT